AGGATTTTTTTCAGAACAGGGAGGTATAGGACTGGGTCACACTCTGATTGTTGAAAATTTTCACCTGCTCTTCTCTTTTCTTGTGTAAGTATGAAAGGTATGATGTTAACATTCCTTTTCATCTTATTCCCCCCTCCTCCCCATTAAGGAGACAGTAAATAACCTTTAAGCATTTTAATCAAAGCTGAGTCATGAGACTCAGTATTAAAATATGTCACTTGGTACCTGGCTAATTTTCCTCTGCTTCTCCCAATTCCAGGCGCCGAAATAATATGTGGAAATATATACAGGCTACCAGAATGCACAGATTTTTCACAAGGACATATTTATCCTGGATTTGGATATATAAAGAAGCAACTTTGTTTTAAGATGATGGGAGTACAACATAAATATAATGATTAAAGCAAATTCTCTGCAAAGTTTGCAGCCTGTATATATAGCACGGTCATTCTCTGTGCTGTCAAAAATGTTTCCTTTCTCTTTTCCCTTCTATTTTAAAAATGTGTTTGCACACATTTTGAAGAGAAGGATTATTAAAAGGTTGTAAGGATTATAAACTTCTGTCTGTCTTGTTCAATTCAGTTGTTCCAGACTTAGTGCCATTGCTCTCGCTGAACAGAGAGGAGATGTAATTCAAGACATACTAGGTATGTCTGAATCTTATTCTACTTACGTAGGTAAAGGTAAAGGTTCCCCTTGACAATTTGTCCAGTCGGGTTCAACTCTAGGGGGCGGGGCTCATCCCTGTGTCCAAGCCATAGAGCCAGCGTTTGTCCGAAGACAATCTTCCATGGTCACATGGCCAGTGCGACTTAGACATGGAACGCTGTTACCTTCCCACTGAGGTGGTCCCTATTTATCTACTCGCATTTGCATGCTTTCGAACTGCTAGGTTGGCAGAAGCTGGGACAAGCTATGGGTGCTCACTCTGTCATGTTGATTTGCTCTTACAGCTGCAGATCTATAGACCTTACAGCACAGAGGCTTCTGCGGTTTAACCCTCGGTGCCACCACGTCCCTGCTCTTTTCTACTTACCTAGAGCCACATATTTGTTGTTGTTATGGACCATTGAGTCAAAATTTACTTATGCCAACCCTAACTCTTCTCTTCTACTTACCTAGAGCCACATATTTATTGTTATGGACCACTGAGTCAAAATTTACTTATGCCAACCCTAAAAGAGCTTTTGAATATGTGAGATGTTCAAGGAGTGATTGACTATGGCCACTCCCAACTCCAGCCATTAAGTTTTCATAGCTAATCAAGGCTGTGAGCCCAGCACTCCTAAATCCTAGTCCAACCCATTACAGCACTCTTGACTCTCAGAGCTACAATAGATAGACCAAAGGTTTGTTGCACATTAGGACTAGTGTATCTCACGTAACAATGTTCTGTTGTCTATGAATCACCATAACCCTTTGAGGATCAAAACACTGATGCACAGGGTCACCTGTATTCTTTGTTGTTGGTCTTCTACCAGATTGGATGTCATCATAGAAATTTAGACATTCAATATAACAGCTCTAAACTGTGTTACATTCAAATCAGCCTCCCACGTTCTTCAGCCAACAGGTTCTTCTCCTTCCTGCATTTCTTTCCCATTTGTCTGGATCACTGCTCATTAGGAGGCTGAAGTATTCCAACATCCTGTAATTCATGTGTTTTATGATTTTCTTCATTAACTTCAGTACTTCTTTATTATTCATTCTTCCAATATATGAAATTCTCTGCATGTTGCAACAAATCTACATTTGTTACAGTTCTCTATATTAAAGTCCAAATTCTATGTCATTCAACAGAGCCAAGAGTACATAACATTGTGCAACACATTTTCTCAAAACCTTTTTTCCCCATATGGCATTTTTCTACTATCTCTGCGGGCTATCTCTACTCTGGATGGCTTTCATCTCACTGTTCATTCAGCATTATGGGATAGCTTTTTTTTTTTAGCCATATGCACTTTGAATTTCTGTATCTCCAATCCAGTTTTGACATTAGTACAATACAATGAATTATGTTGGTTTGTTATCTTCAAACAGTTTTCTTATGTAATCACTCCACTCTATACCTTCAGCCTTGTTGTCAAACATTAGAAGATTATTCCGCTGAATCATTGTTGGTTTTTTATTATGCTGCTACCTCTTTGTTGGGTTTTTACTACCCAAGGGAAGCCTTTGGGAGCCTTGGGAGGGGTTCAAAAATGCTGCTAGATTGCCGTTGGTGGGATCAGCACTGCCTGTAGAAACCCAGTGGTGATTTTTTTTTTTTTTACATTTAAAGTCTGTTTTCTCCCTTCCCCCTGCCATCCCAAGTCTCCCAAAGACTTCCCCAGAGCAAAAGGAACTCCTAAGGAGTCTGGGAAACAAAAAAAAATTGGATGGGATCAGGAGCTTTTAATAAGTGTAAATTAAATGTTTCCTGCACCAAATCTGATTTACACCAAAAGGATTTTGCCCGCTGTTTCTGCAGCTTCCACTTGCCAAGACATAATATACTCAGTCCCTTAAAATATTTTTATTAGTACTATCTTTGGGGGATTTCTACGTATGCAGTCTCCTTTGTAGTAATCTGAGTAAGTGAATACTACAGTGGTATTGGTAAGTAGAAGTTGGTCCTCTTCATCACAAATTTTTATCATTCATTCTCCATGTACAAACCATGGCATTCATCTGCTGCTTTTTCATGTGCTTTGAATTCTTCATAGAACACTTTTATGCTTCTCATCTTTGTTAGCTGATGGGGCATATAATTGACTTTACTAACGAGAAAAGTGAGAAACTGTGGTGCTGCTCGTATGAACTGGCACGATCTTCCAAACTGAGGTTTGTGTCCATCTCTAAATACAATACACTAGCTAGTTATTAGTAGAGTTTGGAATCAGGTAACTGAGAAATCCTACTATTGGCTGTGGTTATTATATGTCCTTTCATGATATGCATAAATGTATGACATGTATGTGTATAAATCTATACATCTAAATGATGGGTGAGCAACCTTTATATCTCTGGGCACTACAAACACCTGTAACTGGGAAGGTTATAGTTTCTTCCATGGCTCCAGAATTTTTTCCTTTAAAAATTCCTTTAAAAATTCCTTTGAAAATATCCCCTTGACCTTTTAGTTGCCCCCCACAAATGTGAGGGGTGGGGATTCAGGGGTGCTTGAAGGCCCTCAAAATATGGCAAAATTTCTCCCATAAACCCCAGATGGGACAATTTGTTAGGTTAAAAATTGTTGAAGGTGTGGGAGCATGGAGGACAGGTTTGCTTGGGGGGGGATACAATTTGGGCCCTTGGGAGTCACATGCAGCCCAATATTTTCTATCCTGTATCTGTGGGTAACTACATAGGTCAGTGGTGGGGAACCTTTGGCCGCCTTCATCTCTCAGAAGCCCCAACCAGTGTGACCTGTGAAAGGAATTATGGGACTTAAGAGTCCAGATATCAAGACAGCTGAAGTTTCTCTACCTCTGACCCAAGTGGTAGTAGCATTTCAGGATTCCCATACACCTGTGCAGCAATAGTAACACAAAATAGTAGCTATTATAGTGTAAGTTGCTGTGCCTAAATACATCTACTTAAGGGCCAAAAACAAGAGGCCCTGTAGGTATTTCCTATCAGAAACCACAATATGTAAACCAATTCTTTCCAAACAGGAGTGAGTCATGTCTAAACACTTTTGTTCCTGTAGGAAACTAGTCTGAACATGTTATTCTCATCTCATGAGACCATGGTCTCATCTCATGAGACCATGTAGCAAAAGCTTCTCTAAACTCATTACCTTCCTCATTATTTAAGCCCTGCACCAGTCAGAGATTGACCCTGGAAAGGCAATAACAACACAGTATCTGCCTTTCTCTTTCCAGAAAAAGGGCTGCCAAACTAAGAACAAAGACACAGAGAGCTTCCATTTGGTTGTCACTGAAGCAGAAGCATCCAGACAACAAGGCAAATGTACTTAAATAAAGCTAGGTTGCTTTATGTTCTTTTATTGCTCAGTAAATAGATGTTAGATAGATTAAATGTTACCATTCATTCTGCAATCCATCAGTATCAGTTTCCCAGCTAACAGTAGAACTAGTTTTTTATTTCAATGGCTATTAAGAGATTCTCAATTTCTACTGATAAAGGTTCAAGTGTGGTTTGCATAGATGGGTGATAAATCTCAATTTACAGCCGGTTTTCATGTTTTCAAGAAGGGAGAATCCATTTTTCCCACTTTCTTGCTCCAAAGATACACTGGGCTTCTTCCAAGGGAAACCTAAAATCTTTCCATCAGAGCCCCACATTAATTTCTCTTTCCCTATTTCAACTCAAAAGGGAGATCACATAGATACCAAAACTTTAGCATCCAGTCTGTGCCATCCCTTCCCTTCCTAACCAGGCACTTAGGGTAATATCTAAATGTTACCCTAAGTGACAAACCCGTCATCAGAGAGATTACACTAGGCCTCAACATAAAACTCTGAGGGACCAACATGTGGAGACAGAAAAGGGAAACAAGCTACCTTTCACTCATACAGAGCAGCAGCAAGAAGTGGCTTCTACTCAAAAAAGGGTGCACTTATCAGGGCCTAGAACACCCATACTGTATCTTTGGTTATTTCAGGAGTTAAGAGAGGTCCTCAGAAAAAGAATGCTTTTCAAAAGTAGAGAATTTCTCAAATGTAGGGAGTCTTGAAGGCTGGACTATTTGCAGTGCTCTGGAAGACCAGGCTATGTCTTGGTCTATCTACTGCTGGAACTACAAAGGTCCTAAGCTCTGAAACAACTTGGTAACCATCCTACATGCCTGACCTCCTAGCTACCAGCTTCAGTTTAGTTCCAAGACCTCAGCTGCCCCTTACTTTTCCTACCATATGTTCTTTTCCAACCATACATATGACCTTGATATCAGTTCACACTCTCTTTCAGAACACATCTTTTTTTATCTCAATTTCTGTCTGTACTGTTGCATTCTGGAATTGCCCTGCCACCTCAGTCAGCACTTTTACACCTACCTTTTGGTCTTCTCTGTACTGTCTTTCCTGTGCGATGAATCATAGATATCCTGTGGTCGACATGTAAATTGACTGGTTACATTTCTATAGTTCTTTTCTTCCACCTTTCTAGTATTTGCATAAGTACTGCTCTGCTCTTAAGCATCTCTGGGTAACACTCAGCCAGGTACGCAGCCATTTCTATGTCAGGATGGATCCATTTCCTTCTGTCACATGAAAAGAAGAAGAAGAAGGAGAAGAAAAAGCTTCAGGTCTCTTGAACATACATATTATTTTCCTGGAATCAAGAATAGGGCCCTTAAACCCACAGCTGCCATGCATCCTTGTGCCAAAGAAACCCTAAACTATCTGATTTTGAATTCCTTTCTAAACTCAAGTGTATATTTTCAGAATTCATGTATATGAATAGTTCATCATTCAAAATTACATTTTATTGTCACTTTGTCCTGTGTACCAAACTATATCAGTGTGCTATAGTAAACAGAGTGACTCAGGAGACCGAGGTTCAAATTCCCAGTCAGACATAGAAAGGTGAGTACTGAATTATAAGCCTCAATAAATTAATTACACTGTTCCCAGGTGTCCTCATTGTTCCAGACTGGTACTTCCAGATAGGCAACTCCTGGGGTTAAGTCAACTTTCAGCACTTTATGAAGCATTGCATTGTTTTGTTTTGTTTTAAGTTTATCATGATTTTAATTTAAGTGCTATTATATAATGTCTTTAGCAAGGAGTTTTTTAAATGCTGAAAAGCAGGGGTTTTATCAAAAGAGGTTAACACAGCCTCAATCTAATTGCTATTTCCAGTTAGAGTATATCAGCTGTTTTGGTGGAAACTTGGTAACTCAAATCTTCTGTAGAAGCCCTTGAGTCAATGACTTTATTTTGGACTAACATTTGGTTTTAGGCTACTACTAAAATGATGTTGATCAGAAATTGTGTCTCCAAACAATTTTGCACCAGAACACTTCTTCAAATTTCAATACCACTATGTCCATATTTTAACAAATAAATATAGACCAACAAAATCATGTCCACACAAAATATTATACATACAGTACATGTATGTATCTGTATTTATACATATAGAGAAGTGTGACTGTCTACATTCTGCTTCTTTGTTCTCACCAAACAAAGAGAAGCTACTTTCCAGCTAATGTCCCAAAAGTCAGAAAACAATGAACCATGTGAAAAATACCAGAGAACAGCCATTTGATTATAACTTAATAGAAAAGAACTGAGAGATAAAACCATATCAATTCCCTATTGCCAATTCCCTATTGCTGAAATGCCTCTACAATACAGGACTGTGGCCAGTATAATGGAAGCTAATTCTTTCTCTATTTCTCCCATATTTTTAATAAATGGCTGCAGATTTTTGTTAATCTGATCCAGTTTCCTTAATCAAATACAGTACAATACACCCAAGGGAGTACCAGTGCTACATTGTTCCATACTGCAATAACCATATGGCAATATTTTGTTATATTTCAGGTTTACTGCCCATTTGCCTAACTTAATATCCCATTTGCCTGTGGGGGAAAACATGGCTTTAACTATACTATATGTATCAACTGGCTTGAAGATGCATTCTTACATACTCTTAACTAGAAGTATTTACCACCAATTTCAAAACAACTTGCTTCTGAATGAACACTTCTACGATTCTACCAGAATTTAATTGTTTCATTAGCATATGGTGTTGATTACCCTGATATTTCTTCCTCAGTATGGATGAAAACTTATGAACATGTTCACTGCAAGGCACTTAATATTTCCTGGTCTGTACTCAGAGTAACATTTCTAAAGAATAAAAATCCAGATTCTTTCATTTCACTTCTGTTCTTCTGGAAAGGCAGTATTAAATCACCAACTATTCCCAGCTTCCTTTCCACTTTCTATTGCTATGCCGACATCACAGGCACTTAGACAGCAGAGGCTACTGACCTAGTCTTCAAATATATTATCCTGCTTGCTGTATTTAAACATGTAAAAATATCACCTCTTCTTGAACATGCGTAGAATAAACAGATGGCCTGCAAAATCTCCAGCTATTCAGACACTGCAGTGCAATCCAATTTGGTTTTTTCCTAGGTAATACTGGACAGTTCCCTCTTCATGGATTGCTCCCTTGTCGTGGCGAAGGGGCTTGAGTAATTCAGAGAAGCTATGGGCTATGCCGTGCAGGGACACCCAAGACGGACAGGTCATAGTGGAGAGTTCTGACTAAATGCGATCCACCTGGAGCAGGAACTGGCAAGCCACTCCAGTATACAACAATGCTGTATATTGCCTCCCTGCTTATTTAACTTATATGCAGAATACATCATGAGAAAGGCTGGACTGGAGGAATCCCAAACTGCAATTAAGATTGCTGGAAGAAATATCAACAACCTCAGATATGCAGATGATACCACTCTGATGGCAGAAAGTGAGGAGTAATTAAAGAACATCTTAATGAGGGTAAAAGAGGAGAGTGCAAAAAAATGGTCTGAAGCTCAACATCAAAAAAACTAAGATCATGGCCACTGGTCCCATCACCTCCTGGCAAATAGAAGGGGAAGATATGCAGGCAGTGGCAGATTTTACTTTCTTGGGCTCCATGATCAATGCAGATGGTGACCGCAGCCCCGAAATTAAAAGACACCTGCTTCTTGGGAGGAAAGCGATGATAAACCTCGACAGCATCTTAAAAAGCAGAGACATCACCTTGCCAACAAAAGTCCGAATAGTCAAAGCTATGGTTTTTCCAGTGGTGCTGTATGGAAGTGAGAGCTGAACCATAAAAAAGGCTGACTGCCAAAGAACTGATGCTTTTGAATTGTGGTGCTGGAGGAGGCTCTTGAGAGTCCCCTGGACTGCAAGGAGATCAAACCTATCCGTTCTGAAGGAAATCAACCCTGAGGTCTCACTGGAAGGACAGATCCTGAAGCTGAGGCTGCAATACTTTGGCCATCTCATGAGAAGAGAAGGTAAAGGTAAAGGTTCCCCTTGACAATTTTTGTCCAGTCGTGTTCGACTCTAGGGGGCGGTGCTCATCCCCGTTTCCAAGCCATAGAGCCAGCGTTTTGTCCAAAGACAATCTTCCGTGGTCACGTGACTTAGACACGGAACGCTGTTACCTTCCCACCAAGGTGGTCCCTATTTATCTACTTGCATTTGCATGCTTTCAAACCGCTAGGTTGGCGGGAGCTGGGACAAGCGACAGGAGCTCACTCCGTCGCGTGGATTCGATCTTACGACTACTGGTCTTCTGACCCTGCAGCACAGGCTTCTGCAGTTTAGCCCACAGCGCCACCACATCCCTATGAGAACAGAAGACTCCCTAGAAAAGAACCTGATGTTGAGAAAGTGTGAAGGCAAGAGAAGAAGGGGACGACAGAGGACAAGATGTTTGGACAGTGTCATCGAAGCTACCAACATGAATTTGACACAACTCCAGGAGGCTATGGAAGACAGGAGGGCCTGGCGTGCTCTGGTCCATGGGGTCACGAAGAGTCGGATACGACTTAATGACTAAACAACAACTGGACAGTTCAGTTAGCTGGAGCACTGGGCTGCAGAGCCCAGGGTTGGGACATGGATTCCCCACTGTGCCTTGTGGGAGAACAGCCAGATTCTGTGACTTTGGGCAAGTTATATTGTCCCAGAATGCCCCTGAAGATTTATTTTTATAAGTTAGTCCCATTTGTATCCTCCACCATTTCTCCTATAAGCTTAAGACGGTGTACACGACTCCTCCAACTTTAACCCTAGAACAGCACTGTGAGATTGATCAGGTACAGAAATAATTACCGGCCCAAGGTCACCTAGCGAGTTTCAGAGCTCAGTAAGCTCTAGAGATCCTGCACAACCCAAGTCTCAGTCCAATGTTCTGATCTCTAGAGCCAAAGTGAATTGCCAAACTAGAACTGATGAGACCTGAATTCAAACCTCTGCTCATCAGAAAAGCTCACTAGTGGATAGCAGTGATAAACCACTCTTCAAACATCACAAAAAGCACTCTTTCACTTGTAGTAGGTCAGAAGTGCCTTGACAACACATTGAAAATAATAGCATCTTACTGGCTGTCATTTACACTAAAGTAATTAGAGTATTCTTTGTTTTTATTAACAGCACAGAAAACAATGCTAAAGCTTTCAGCAATTGTAACTTCTATCCGGCTTTCTACTTTCTAAAATAGATTTCTAAAAATGCTGCTCTAATGTGCTTTGGTACATACTGTATAATTTTTAGGCCTTTTACAAACAAACATCTACCTTCTGGGTCTTGCAATTCCCTTGTGAATTTCACCAGAAACTTGCTCTGACAGGCTATGATTACTCCCCTTGCTATGGTATTTCAAGGAACATGATGGATTACACTATTTAAGACCGCTTTTAGAACTTTTTCTTGTCACTTCCAGAAAAAAAAATGTGGGTAAAGTTTTTTCCACCACCACCACTTACACTGATTTTCAAGCCGCTACACTTAAACTTACATTTCAAATTTACCCCTGTGTTACTATAATTTAAATACATTTATTAGAACCTAAGTTAAAATAAGATGACAAAAAAGAAAATGTTGCTGTAGAAAAGAATGTGATTACAAACAGAGAAATCTTTGCCTACTATCCTGGTGTGTTTGAAACACTACACTCAACTGTTTACTGTAAACCTGACTGTTTATTGTTAACCTTACTGTTAACTGCATTGGGGGAGTGTGTCCCTGTTGGTTCTCTCAGTGGCTTTTGTCAATGGTATCTTTTTGGCCCATCTCTCTGGGATAGGACTTGGGGGCACTGTTTTACAGTGACTCCAGTCCTTCCTGGAGGAGAGAACTCAGAAGGTGGTGCTGGGGATTCCTGTTCAATATCATGTCTGCTTGCCTGTGGGCCTCTCAGGATTCTGTTTTGTCTTGTATGACACTTAAGATCTACATGAAATTGCAGGGAGAGATCATCCAGAGGTTTGAAGTTCAGTGTCATCAGTATGCAGATGATACCCAACTCTACCTCTTCTTGCCATCTAAATCCCAAGGAAGCTGTTTCAGCTCTAGATCAGTGTTTGGTATCATTAATGGACTGGATGAGAGTGAATAAACCGAAACTTAATACAGGCAAGACAGAGGTGCTCTTGGTCAGTCGAAAAGCAGATCAAGGAATAAGGACGCAGCCTGTGCTGGATGGGGTTACACATTTGAACAATTAAAACTAGTGTGCCGGCTGCATCCATTCCTGGAGAGGTCTGATCTGACCACAGTGACACATGCCTTAGTTACATCCTGCCTGGATTACTGTTAACACACTCTACATGGGACTGCCTATGGAAAGTGTCAGGAAATTTCAGTGGATCCAAAATGCAGCCGTCAGATTGCTGGCTGGGGCTGGTTACAGGAATCACATCACCCCCTGTTACTACAGCTCCACTGGCTGCCAATCAATTTCTAGGCACAATTCAAAGTGCTAGTTCTAACCTATAAAGCTCTAAACAACTTGGGTCCAAGCTACCTGAAAGACCTTGTCCCTCATTATGAGCCTGCTTGGGTGTTAAGATCATCAAGAGAGGCTTTTCTCTCCACCTTCACAGGTGTGTTTGGTGAAGACATAGGAGTGGCCCTTCTCCGTTACTGCTGCTAGGCTATGGAACCGCCTCCCACAGAAGGTTAGAGCGGCCCCATCTTTGCTGTCCTTCTGCAAGCAGGCAAAAGACATTTCTCTTCAGGCAAGCATTCCCTCAGCGACTGGCTGCCTAAGAAGGATTTTTAAATGGATTGGTATTCGACATAACTTATGGCAACCCCATCCTGGGTTTTCCAAGGAGAGAATACTCAGAAGTAGTTTTCCATTCCCTTCTTCTGGGGGCACCCTGAGACTTTGCAGCCTGCACACGCAGACTCTACTCTCAAGAAGCACAGTGGGGAATCAAACTCCCAATCTCTGACTCCATAGCCAGAAACCTATACTACTGAGCTATACAGCCAGTAGAAAAACCTTAGAGGATTACAAACAGAGGTTGACACTGTATCAAAAATTGGACCTCTGTAAAGGCACAAAATGACAGTCCAGTAAAAACCCATATGTGAAGGTTCCCCTGTTTGAGGCACACTAGGTAAATCGGTGAAGCTTTAACAACATGAAGGAACTTTTATCACTTGATATGGAATGTTATTAAAAACTCACTCACAGGAGCAGTAGGAACTATGGCAGAATTAATGGCACAACACATGCTGTTAAAAGCATGTAAAGCAATAGGGCTGAACAGAACGCCTTCAAGATACCAGAGACTGCGTAAAATAGCACTGGGGTAGATGGACTAATAACACTGTTTCATACAGTGCTATGCGCAATTTGAGAAGATTGAGATCAAACATTATTTGATCATTCTGTCAGCAACAAATAAAATTCAGTAAAAAGCTACAGAGAAAAGAATTTCCTTTTCCAATATTTAGCTCACAACGTCTTTCATGGGTTTCAGTTCAACATTAGAAGAGTCATCAAAGGGTATATTCTTCAATTTTGTCCACTTGTATACACACACACATGATAATAAACAGGAAAGTTATTCTAAAAAAAGTTTCACGGCTCCTTGCTAAATGACAAGTAACAATTAACTGCCACAGCTTTAAAAGACAAGGAATGATTAATTGAATTAATTGTGATTAATGGCAGTAATTAATCAGAACTGCTTGAAAGCCGTGGGTGTTCAATACAGGGCACTTTAAAAAAATGTCCTTTCAGTGGAAGGTACCAATTGGAAAGGGAGAAATAAAACATTTTCTATTATAATTTTGTATTTCCCAACAAACATTATTAATATTGGTGTTTCTACTGTTGTTAATTCGGAAGTGATCAATTCACTTCTGAATTACAGTTACACTATGAATTAATAGGGACATGGTGGCACTGCAGGTTAAACTGCAAAAAGCCTCTGGGCTGCAAGGTCAAAAGATCAGCAGTTTGAATCTACACAATGGAGTGAGTTCCCGTCACTTGTCCCCAGCTCCTGCCAACCTAGCAGTTTGAAAGCATGTAAAATGCGAGTAGAGAAATAGGTACCACTATGGTGTGAAGGCAATGGTGGTCCGTGTCTAGTCGCACTGGCCACATGAACACGGAAACTGTCTACGGACAAACGCTGGTCTATGGCTTGGAAACGGGGATGAATACTGCCTCCCAGAGTAGGACACGACTCAAAAAAATGTCAAGGGGAACTTTTATCTTTACCTTATGAACTAATGCCCCCCTGTCACTAACAGACCAGCTCATATCTTGTAAAAGAAAGGGAATAGTTTCCTTTATTGAGTCAGTTCATCTCACGGTCTCCCTCTTTTTCTACTACCTTCCATTTTTCCTTGCATTATTTGAAAAGAATCTTGTCTTTTTATGGCATGTCCAAAATAACAACAGCTTCAATTTACTCCAGTTTATAGCAACTGCCAACTGCTGCTGAGGCTAAGGCCACCCAAGGGCAAAGTTTAATCCTTTTCACATTATGATGATAAACCACACCCTGTAATGACCACCACTTGGCTCATAAGGTAACATCTTTGGAGAATGGTGTAATGTTTTACAGGAAACTGAAGAAATTGTATTCCAAATGCTAAACTTCTAAACTGATGCAGGGCAGCATTTGCACATAATATAATAAGCCAGAGTAGCCGGCTTAGCCTTGTATACACAGAGGCACGATGTAACATTTGGAATTATGTTGTCCAAATATTTAACTATGTCTTCCAAGTGTCTCCTTTAAAATCAACAGGAAGTTTTATATAAGCAGTGATCTGGCATACACTGATTGCTCTCATATCCAATCCAAATGTGCTGGCAATATTCACGTCCACCCCTGTGTTGCTTCTCCTTTCTAACGGGCATTTTTCCTCCAGCTCTCTCAGAGCAAGCCTCTAAAAAGCTTGCTGTAAAGCCATAAACACTACAGCTGCCTTTTCTTAACAGCATAGTATTTAATCTTTTTTCCCTCCATCTTCTCCTCTAAATTGCTTTAAATGTCTCTTTGAAATGGCCAGTGAGGACAATTATCTGTCAGAGCGCATAACACAAAACAACAAATTGGCAACAGAGCTTAACATTTTAGCTCCGGCAATTTCCTGTGCCAAATGTTCCACAGGAAAAGCTTAGGTGTGTCCACAGCTTTGTTTAGCTTTTAACACAGGGTAACCCTGCCATGGCTCTTGAACTCCTCCAAACTTGAAAGGTCTGATGCCACTGGATTATACAGACACCGTGACTTCAACATCGATTTCTCTGTCCCCTTTGTTTTACAACATCTGATGCACAAAAAGCTTGCACACATGTTTATGTCTTTTCAATGAACAGAATAAAGGCGTTTACACCAATACGGACAGTGAGATTTGTGTTATGGCTAATACCTTTGCCTGTGGTGCCATTGTAAGGACAAATACCTGTTTGCCGCACAAAGATAAGATAAAAATCCTCTTTCGTTGCACCATTTACATTTATAAAACTTAGGAATAATAACAGTTTACATTTGGAGCCTATGATAATATAAATCCCACTGATTTATATAGGTCTTTCTTCCTAGTAAGGGTGCCCTGGATTAAAGCATTAGAATAGCTGTATTCATACCTAATACATGGGAAGAAGGAGGAAGTTAGCACTGCAGAGTCTACCCCCCCACACACAGAGTCTACTCTACCCCAGGTTTCTATCCACCCCCACAGAGGTTTTCACAATGTTCTTCAACAGGCAGCTCATTCATGAAGTTATCCCAAGGGAGTCTTGCTTCACATGTTCAATAACATGTATAGGCAAGTGATTGAAGCCTGTCCCTTCATGTGCATTAGTGAATATGCTGGCCATATACAAAAAGTTTTCTAGGAATCTGATACCAAAATTCTGATCTTGCTTTTAACTAGTGCAGCACCGGATCAGTTAATCTATTAAAAGTTTTTAATCTATAATTTATCAAAGGTGTCCCTTTCATATTTGTGGATAAAATTGTGCCGTACGATTACAGTAAATGGTGACCTCTCAAGGGAGCACATTGTAATCCCGTTTCCCCTAAAATAAGAGCTAACCTGAAAATAAGCCCTAGTATGATTTTTAGGATGCTCGTAATATAAACTCTACTTTAAAAATAAGCCCCAGTTAAGAGAAACCCTGCCCTCCACCACTGCGCAGCAACCAGAGTAAGATGACATAACTGTACTTGAATAAACATAGAATGTTGTACATGAAAAAAATAAAGCATCACCTGAAAATAAGCCCTAGTGCGTTTTTGGAGCAAAAATTAGTATAAGACCCTGTCTTATTTTTTTGAAAACAGGGTAGTAACAATAAGACTTGGGAATATTCAAAGTATGGATCGGAATTGCCACAGAATCACCTTGCAAAGTACATCACCATTTCTTGCATACGATTCAGAATGAGAAAGAATAGGTTGCCCAACAACAATCTGTTGTGTTTACAACTAAATTTGATTTCAAGAGTTCCTAAATTTGCTCTCAAAGAGAGCCTTTGCATGTACTTTTGGGGGGTTGCTGTCCTGCTTCTTAGATGGATCCGAGTGCTTAATTTTTGCACTGGAAAAAACCCTCATGGTTTCCAAAGACGCATACCTAACAATATTACGTACATTATATCAGGAATCAGGATAACACACAGCAAGCTTACCTCCTGTCAAGCACTGACGTTCCTAACAACAGCTCTGCTCTCTAATGCACACATTGATCATCATCATATGTTACAAACACCAACGACTCTGTCAGACCCCCCTGGCAAAAGGACTGCCCTGGCAGCTCAAGTTCCCAAAATTACTCTCAGACTCACTAAGCCAGATGGGCGATGCTGGCTGGGCTTAGATGCTGGGTGGTTTGTGGTGCTCCACACCAAAGGCTAATCTATTCAGAAGAAGCCTCATCTGAACATCTCCACATTCAAATTTAAGCTCCTAAAATAGAAGCTTTGTGCCTTAGCAACTGCTTGATACAAAATAATTCATTTAAGTTCTTATGCAGGCAGGAAGATGCAGCGGGAGCATGCCAACTCGACCTGTTGATTTTCTGCCTATGTGTAGGTGGAATCTTCTACCTTCAGAAAAGCAGCAAGCGCTTGCTCTCTCAATCCCCATCAAAGTCCCCGCAGCAACCTCGCGGCTCTAGCCGTTCTCAAAACAGGAAAAGCCTCCCGCCGACCAAGCCGAACCGCCTCGCATTGTGTAAGGAGAAGTTTCGCAAGAACTAAGCAGCCGCCCTGAAGTGAAACTTGGAAACCGAGAGGCGGCATCCCAGGAAACGCCCCGAGAGACGTCTGCCAGCTCGCAAAAGCGCTGGGCGGCGGCGGCGGCGGCGGCCTGAGCTGGTCCTGCAAAGGTGGTGGGAGAGGATGGGAAAAGTAACTTAACTGCCCATCCTGCTAGGAGCCGATTACTTCAAGCAGACTTTCCGGATTGGCCGGCGCTTGGTTTCTCGCGTAAACGGGTGCCAAATGTCTCTCCGATCCACTCCCTAGGAAAGCTGGCGGCGGCCACCGCCTCCACGCAGCCGGGCGTGGATTCCTCCCGCTACGCGCAGCCCCTTCGGCAAGAACTCCAGCGCGCCTTTCGCTCCGCGACCAGCCCGAGTCCCCTCAACACGTGCCGACTGCGCACTCGGCCGGGCTGAGAGCGGCGCCCGCTTCTTTGGAGTAGCTGAGGCTTGACGGGTGGCGGCGTGCCACTAAAGCGGCGGCGCCGCCGCCTCCAGAAGTTGCCCCTCGCCTGGCACCCGAGTCAGCCGCTGCGCGTGCCCTTTCGGCGGCCTCTTTCTCGCCCAGCCGGTGGGTCCCTCACTTGCCACCTCAAAGGAGCCCGTTCACTCTCACCCTCCCGCCCTCGGCGTGTTTACTTGCTGTTTGTCTCTAGCCTACGAACCGGGACAGAGCGAGAGCAGCAGGCGGGCAAGCAAGCAGGGGAGAGAAAGTTTCTTTTCCCCGCCTCACCTTTCCAACAAAGCGAACGGCGCACTGACGAGAGAGCGGGGCGCCCGGGCCCGGGGCTCTTCGCTGCTGCTGCTGCTGCTGAGGACGGCGGGGGGGGGGGTTGAGCCGGTGGCGCAGATGTTTGCAGCTGGCCCAGCCTGGCCCTCTCTCCTCTTCCTCCTCTTTCTTTTTCCTCCCGTGCCTTGGCGTGTCCGTGGAGAAAAGGAGCGCGAGGACCCCGTGACGTGGGCAAAGGAGGAGGGGCGGCCGGGACCTCCTCCACCCCGAAGGAGAAAGAGGAAGCGCAGCGGGGCTGGTAGTGTCGCCGCCGCCGCCCCGGAGCAGGAACCCAAACAGTCTCAACGTGACTTTGTCCAGGCAGGAGGAAAAGCGCGCTTTCTGTCGCTGAGGTTCCCGGGCGGGCCTCCCGCGCTTTTTTTCCTTCCCACGTTGTGGGGGGGGAGGGGAAGGGAGAAGGAAAAGAAGGGTCCTTGCCGGGCGGTGGGGGGAGGGCGAGAAGAAGAAGGGTGTGTGTGCTTCGCCCTTGGACCTCACAGGCGTGTTGGCGAACTTTGCGGTCAACCTTCGCCTTTGTGCTTTTTTCTGATGAGGGGGAAAAGGCAGAGAGAAACCCCAGTACGTCTCTCTCTTTTTCACTCACTCACTCACTCACTCACTCACTCTCTCTCTCTCTCTCTCTCTCTCTCTCTCTCTCTCTCTCTCTCACACACACACACACACACACACACACACACACACACACACACACACACACACACGAGAGAGAGAGAGAGAGAGAGGCGAAATGAAGCTGAACTATTGCCTTTTACCGAAGCCAGTCCTATTACCTCCACACACATGTCGTTTCCAGCCCCGCAGCTAATCCTTGCGCCGCGGCGTCCCCGACATCAGACATCTCTGACTAGGTGACCTCAATAAGCAAATGGTGTGGTTTGGGGTACCATTCGTCGTTAGGAGTGCTTTCACATCTCCAGCTTTCCGGATGGACATGCAACCTCCCTCTGCTGTTTGCACTAAGCGGGCACTCCCTTGGCATCTAGTCGCCATGGGGTAAACCCCACTGAAACAAGCGGGACTTTTTAAAAAGTAGCCTCGCCTAATATTGTGCTAGAACAAGCGGGAAAGTGGGAAACCATCCCGGAAATCCTGCACGAGGAACCAAACGTGCAAGCTCTAGCAGATCCCATGGGTTAGCTCAGTCGCACTCAGTTAATCCTTTTTTCTTTTTTTTTTTTTTGGCTTTCATTTTACGTTGTGGAGAGGGGGAGAAGGAATTATTTCAGTGTTTAATCAAATACTGTACAGTAGCTTATCGCAAATTTGGAAACTTTCCAGCATTCCATTGGCTCCTTTTTGTTCAAAGCGGGACTTTCCAGTTCAGTTCATCTCTTTCCTCTAGAGGTCAATAATCCAGAGGCTACAATCCTAAACTATAAAATCTGAAACATGAGGTTGGTCCACATACCTACAAAAATTGTAACAAGCGTATTTTGCTCTCTGAGAGGCCTTCTGTCCCTGGAGCCGAAACTTTGTGCGCATTTTGCATTAAACAAAATGTTTGTATTTCGAAAAGTGTATGCCAGTAACCAGCTTCCCTCATGCACACTAACAACTGAACTCTTTAGGACAACTTTTAACGAGCATTTGCCACTGTGTTCACAAGCAATGATGGGGATGTATAATCTCCAGGCTTAAAAGGGAGGTACCTCCAAGTGCCAGCTGCAGGGGAGTGGTATCAGGAGACAGGTATCTAGTTGTCTCTTGTGCTCCCAGAGGCATCTGGTGGGGCCACTGTGAGAAACAGGAAGCTGGACTAGATGGGCCCTTGGCCTGATCCAGCAGGGCTTTTCTTAGGTTCTTATATTATTTTAGGTTTAGAATATTAGATTAAGGTTAATTTTAATTTAGGTTTAAAATATTAGCTTGAGGTTAATTTTAATTCTCTTCATTTAGCAGAGGATATTACAGTGGGGTCTTGACTTGAGAACTTAATCCGTATTGGAAGGCGGTAGGTCAAGTCTCCATTGACCTACAGTGCATTGAAAACCGATTAATCCCGTAACAGGCCGTTTTTGTTCCATTTTGTTTTTTTTTCTGGTCTGTAAGTTAATTCTCAGGCTGCAAGTCAAACCTAAATTTTGCGGCCAGAGAAGTCTATAACTCAAAAAGTCTGTAAGTCAAGCCGTCTGTAAGTCAAGGGTCCACTGTATTCCACTTGTTTTTTACTATCAAGTTTTGGGTTTTTGTTGATTATTAATATAGTTAACTGTTGATTTCATTATATGAAACCCTCTTTGTACACTAGTTTGTACATAGTACCTGTTCTCTATGGAATGGTATAAAAATGTAATAAATCATTGGTCTGGTTGCTACTGATGTTCTGTTTGCTTGGGCTTATACTGAGGTTTGTTGTTACTTAATGAGTGTGTTAGCATGTCTCTTGCCATGTGATCTAATGATTCCCCAGGTGCCCAACATCTGTTCCCTCAACCCCAACTATCAAGGCATGGGCATGCTAGCTGGATTATGGCAATTGTACTCCAACATAATCTCATAAGTAGCAGGTGTGAAGAGAAAAAGCATGACCTTACATGGTTCTCATACAAAATTCAATGTCACTGAGGAACATGCCCTGCTAGAAAAAAATACACAGAAAACAGCTATAGCAAAAATGGGTGGAAATCTTAACAGCTTCACTGGGGTATCTCCTTCCATATCAAATGTACCATGGGTTCCTAAATCCAGAACTGCATAGCCATTCCTTTTTGGGGCCGAGATTCAAGTGAACTCACCTCATACTGACTCCCATTAAATGCTGTGGGTCTTAGTTTTGAACTTAACTTGCCTAGTTACAGCATTTATGAATTAATGACAGAAGTCACCTTAATAATGTATTTTTTCTGTTTTAATTCCTTCCCATCACATAATTTGGGGCCAATCGCAAATACATTAGGAAATTGATTACACAGTTACTTTCCCTTCCTGGGCCCTAGGCTGTTTGACACTTTGGCTTTTTGGAAAACTAAATACATAGTCAAGATGGACTGGACCTTTGTAACTTGTTTTTCCATTCTAATGTGTAATGCTTGTTATCTATCTTCTGATTACTATTCATATTATTCCTGTATTTCTCTAGTTTCTTTCTCTGCATGGAATCTTCTCCAGTATTTTCAAAAATCAGTTCTTTTTCAATTTATTTTTGTCTTATTTTTTGAGACTACTGTATCACGGTAAAAGTTGGATTTCAGATACTAAGTAACACTCACATGTCTCTTGGCTTCAGTTCACCAGTTCCTTCCCTTATCAGAGCAGCAGTCACTAAGTACTGATCCAGTTCCACCTATTTCATCTATTATTATTTTTTATTTCCACTATTACTCCAAATCTTGCTTTTGTGTTTTGCCAAGAGCCAAATCCAAAATGTTATTACAAGGCCTTGTACTTGACATATTACTACCTGAATAAGTATCTTACATCAAAGAAAACAACAAAAACAACCAGCTGATTCAACAGTGAAGTATATCTAAGGATGAAATAAATCCTTTGTACATTTCATAAGGCAGTTCCATAATCTCCTGCAAACAAAACATTAATACAAACTACTGCAAATTTTCAACAAGTCTTTCTATTATATCTGTTATAACAACAACAACAACAAAAAAACAAACAGCACAGCAAAAGCCATCAGTGAAATAGGTAACACTATTTTAGGAACTTTATCATCTTCACTGTTCTTTTGGTTTTATGACAGATCAGCCATTTGAAACTTTAGAAGTGCTTTCCAGCAAGTTAACATAAACGACGACTCCTCTCATTAATACAGATGTTTCCTCTCACCCCCATGATGATTCTGATATCCTTTTTTGTGCCAGTGATCACTTCAGTGCCATCAGTTTGCACTCTGATCATAATAATCAGTAGAGAGATCCCTGAAACAATCTGAAGTTAATAGACTCAATTTTATGTCTTGAAAATGTTCGTTTAAACCACTGGTTCTTAACTTTGGGTTACTCAGGAGTTTTTGGACTGCAACTCCCAGAAGCCTTCACCACCAACTGTGCTGGCTGGGGTTTCTGGGAGTTGCAGTTCAAAAACATCCGAGTAACAAAGGTTAAGAACCACTGGTTTAAACCATAGTGTGAAGGAGCCTCAAAACATTTTTAGTGCGAATTGTGGCAAGCACTTCTGCAATAAATATGCAAGTGGAAAATATATGAAACATAAAACAAATAGAAAGAGTAGCATAAAACAGCTTCTGGATTTAAAGGTTCAAGGAGATTGTTCTATTAGGGCGCGTTTGCTATAACTTTTGGTTTTCGCTTTTTTTTTAAACAAGACAGTAATTATGAATCCTCTATCTTTGTGGACTTCAAAATAATCATCAGAAAACAATCTATTAAGTATGTTTTATATCTCAAAGAGCCAAGATAGTGATCACTTTACTATAACTGCAAGGAGTTGAGTGGATCATAAGCTCCATATCCCAACATTGTCACTTCTTACATATACCTTTTGCTGGGTTTTATGATAGTATTAAATAAGCAAGCATATTCATTCCATGGCAACCATTACATCAGCAGGCATTCAGTGTAAAGAAATACAAAGGAGTTATTTGAAAAAACATGCATGACAGCTTTAAAAAGATGTCACAAATCTTTGTAGTATGGTATTTTCCAGGTGGGATTCATGTCAAAGTGTAAGTATCTATTGCTGATGTCTTTGCCAGTAGTGTGGAGTTCTATTCTAGAGCAAAGTAAATGCCTTGTAAGCCATTTACATTTTTTTATTACACAAGAGCTAACATGGCAGACTGATAATGAAGACTGTTACCTTTACATTCTCACATCAAATAGTAAAATGAACCGTATGATATCCCCAAATGAAAGTTTCCACAGTAAATGAAAATTCCACAGTAAACTGAGGTTGTGAGCAGACTTATAGAACTACCTGCATACTTCCTCTGTGGTTATAATCATGTTTGTTTTCATTTGAGCAGTGCTGCCTTGTTAAAACTGGCTATTAATCTTGATCAAGGATAAACAAATTAACTGTTCTTAGCATCCTAGATGCTGAACACAAAAACTTCAAAACCTGTCTCAGTCTATGTTCTTCAGTCTATGTGCTTCAAACCACTATTTCTGGTTTCAAAAATCACTGCTTAATTTGAAATAGGCTTTCCCCAGTCAACTTCAAGCTAAGTTTTATTTGCAAAGACCACTGTAACCATAGCCTTATCCCAGGACTTAAAGGTTATTCTCAGTGTTCTCCTCCTAACCCCTTATAATGAACTCTCAAACTCTTTATATCTATTCAGACACAACTCTCTGCAAAAGTTCCTTTTCTGTTTTGGAAGTACCACTAATAAGACTGTAAGAACAGATGCAAAGACAGAACAAACTTCCAGAACTCTCATTATATGTTGGCATAAACAGATAATAAGCAAAATATTTATCATTCAGAAAGCTGTTTAAAATCCAAAATTTTCACAATGGACATAGAAATCCCAGCACTGCTCCATTATGTGAGAGGGCAGAAATTCTTCATCCTTTATTAACACTATTTTGTTGAACTGCAGAAATCTCCTTGATGTTTTTGAGAACGTTGGCTGGTAGGAAGATTCTGTTAAGACACATGACACACATCACATTAAAATATCAAACATCAAGTTTGCAAGTATGTTAATATTTTGCTTTTCCCAATTAGTGAGAAATTCAATTCTGCTTTATAAAATCTGCTCCAGAATATGCTTTATAAATTTCTAGAAAGACTAAGCCCCATGTCCAAAGGTCATTGTGACTTCCACCCAGGCAGCTTTGCTACAGTTTAACTATTAGTCATTCCACAAAGGTCTACTTTGCCAACTCATCCTGGTGGAGAGGTGACCCTGGTTTATTTAAGCCTATACTAATGGAGTTTTGGCTCTGGCACATTCTACCAGGTTGGTAATGGTCCCAAAGGCAAGCTGTGTGTTTGTCATCTAAGGACCACCCTTGCTAAATGCAGAGAGACTCTTCACCAGAAGAATGCCTATCAGGTGATGAATTAGTGGTAGCAATTACATATGGAATATCTGCAATCTGCAACATACATCAATGAACTCATTTTCAGATGTCCCTATCCACTATCAAGTTCCACTATACAGATACATTTGGATTTAGTAATTTTAATTACAAAGTGTATAAAGTATTAATGCACATGCTTTTAAAACATTAACAAAGAATGCAGATTGGTCCTGTGAAACAGATTAACCTGAAACTAGCTCAAGGTCACTTAGTTATCACTGTTATGTGACTATATTGAAGTCTCACTCTATAATCAGCAATAACAACACTCTAGAGTAAGTGGTCACAATTACATGGCTATTTTCGTTTTAATAGACATTTGGGTGCCATTGTAAGTAGAAACACTGTCCATTTTCTTTGATAGGTGATTGTTGGTTTTGTACACAAAGTTATCACAACTTCCTTCTGTCCAAAAAACAGACATAAACAAGTGGCTTATCTGGATATGCTTCCAGAGTTCTTTCCAAAAAAGCATATTCTCTGGAAAACTGACATGAATTTACTCTTCTTATACTATGATTTACCTATCTGCCAGTGTGATGGAACATTTTGTCTTCCCTACTGCAGCCATTTACACTGTCCAAAAACTAGTCTGAGGGGCTGGTACTGTCTCCTCCTGGTCTGATTGACAGAAATAGTTCAATGAGCAGGAACCACACTTTTGGATATTGCCATGCTTCTGCTCTTAAAGTAAAAATGTACAACATAATAAAAGGATGCCATATCGAAGCCGATGAGGAAGGGGCCCGAACAAGGTTATGTCTGACAGCACCACACACATTTGCTATTGGTGAGTGACCAAATGTCATCATGGGGCTAAATAATAATACTATCAGCTTGACATACAACTTGATGAAAATCTGAACTTGTGGAATGCTCCTTAAAAACAGAGAGAGATTTCAAGTAGAGTACTGCTGTGATCAGTCCCAACCCAGTATTCCCTAACATTGTCAGTGACTTTTGACAATCTAGATATCAGTATTCTTCATCACTGGCCATGCTGGCAACTTTCCAGCTCAGAAACTTTCATTCTTTTGAATTTTTCCATGCTCCAGCCTTCCCTTGTGCTCCCCTAAGTCATACTCAGAGTCAATAGTCACAAACAGAAGATGAAATGTGTGTCCATTCACAGGACGCTTGAAGGTTTGCATAACTGAGTGCTTCTTCATCATTTAAAAAACAATAACAGCAAACACACTCACATATATTAAAATACATGTAACCCTCTTACTATCCTGGTAGTTTTGAATAACTGTTAACATATTTTTTTCATGAATAATCCTTCCACCAGAGAAGCCTCAAAAAGTAGCTTGAAGTGCTGGTACTTAAAGATTTAACCATTTATCACTATGTAAACACTAAACTGCCTTCCTGACGCAAATTGTGTCAAGAGCCTCTTGATCATGTCCAGTAGATATAATCTAGTGGAAAGTAAACTGGAGTTCTATACACATTACATGGGAATAAGCACAATATTACACAGTACTTACATCTAAACAGGAAGGTATGTGTCAACACTGTTAAATCCTACTAAAATCAATAGAGAAAACAGCAGCTGGACACACATATTGTTCATGAGATAATATTGGATTGAAAAGTTCTAAACTTACTAAGAGCAATCACTGCTGAAAGAGTTTCCTCAGACTGTGTTTCAGTGGATAGTGGATTTTGCACTCCTTGCTGTATATTGTCTGTATCCTGGAAGGACGTGGTTTGATGACCAGAACAGCAGTAGTCCTCACCTTCGTTGTGATCCCATTCTATAGAGTTTCTCTCTAGTTGTAAAAGAAAGTCAATTTATATTTGTATAAATTTGCAAAAACCCTACTACTTTCTTGAATCTGCAGTACAATTCTCTACTTCCTCCCATCTAGTCCACTTCCCTACTGAACTGCTGCTTATGGCTGCCTTGCAAGATAGTAAATTATTACAGTGAAAAGATCTATATTAAATGTATAGGGTAGAAACCGTCAATTAACCTCATTCTTCCTCTCTACTTGCACATGTTCATCAAACAGAGAATTGCACTTCAATCAGCACATACCAGATAGTTTATGTTGTTGCAGTAGGACTTCTGTTTCTTTAGGAATATTTTCAGCTATTATTTTGGATAATAACGTTCCACAGTATGTGACCTGGTACAGATATACATATTAGTTCAATGAGGATGCTTTTGCCTTTGTTTTTATGATGAAGCAAGAAGTACTGAGCCACCAACTTATCCATCTGTTTTGCACAATTCTTGAAAAGTTGAGTATAAAGAGTGCAAAACAAAGCCACATGCAAAAGACTATACAAATGCAGCATTTTTCACTTGCTAATAATCTGTTAAAAAGACATTAGCCTATGATACAGTAACTACAATTTAAAAAAATGTTTATAGAATAGGACATACAGTTTCTTGTGTTGGTTTTTTTTAATTATTAGTGGCTGGTACCCTCACAGAGTTGCACTGCTTTTGAAGTTATTTTTAACTTCATAAACATTAAAACCTTTGGGAGGCATCAGCCACTGGTATTTTTTTAAAAAAATCCCCCCCTTTCCCGTTCTATCATTATGATCTCGTTTCCAAGCTGGGTCCTATAAGTTCTACTCCTAATGAGGAAAGTTGGCAATGTCCCTTCAGTGCAACCTCTACTCCAGGGAACATAACTTCCACAGTTCCTTTACCACTGGCTATGCTGGGCTGGGTTGATGTTAGTAGTAGGCGGAAAACTCAAGGTTAGGGTTCCCGGTTCTGTCTCTAGGTTACAGAGATTAGGTGAGGTTTAGGGCTCTGCTAGCAAAGAGATACTGATTTAATATATAGAAGCAGTGCACCAAGAAGAGAAAAATACAGTATATTCTAAAGAGTTTCTATTTACACATGGCAAAATTTGCTTGGTTTTTGTTTTGTAACTGGTCAGTAGAGAGACAGTACAGCTTTGTTTGCATATCTGATGGCACTAGCACTGAAAGATTTGCAGCCTGAACATGTGATCTGACCCTCAGGGTCACTTAAAGGAAACACATATTTCCCCCTCTTAGTAGCACTACCCTTCTAAGCATGAATTTCTTCACCTGGAATATCAGACATGGAAACAAAGTATGTTACAGAGCATGAATATCCAAGGAGGTAGCAATGTTAGGATGTGATTAGATGGTGTGTTTTTTTCAAGCACCCAGGGCACAGTCTAGTTTTCCCATGACCCGATAATGTTCAGGAGATTGTTAACCAAACTGATGCTGCTTCATGTTAAGTTTGGACCTTTTGGGTCCAGATGCAGGGCTACTATTTTCCTGGAGCTAGGATGGAGTGATCAGGACCAGAATGCATATAGAGTGCACCCAGAGAAGCAACCCTTTCTATCCAGAATGCATATAGACCGAACGGTCACTTTAAAGAGTGCACCCAGAGAAGCAACCCTTTCTAGCATAATCCAAGGCGATCTTACATCACTGTCCGATTACTCCCTTAGTCTGATGCAGCAAAAACAGCAGTCTTCTGATACCTTTATACATAAGCAGGGTAATTTTTCTAAATATGGATTTGAGCAAGCTAGTATAGAATAAACATACAGCATTCTGCTCTTAAGAGTGCACTGAACTGCTTCTACATACAGAATTAGTTTCTCATCTAGTAAAGCTCTTAATGCCGAGCTATAAAAGTCTATGTGCATTCTACAATCCGAAAGAAATAAAGAACAAGATAAGAATTTAAAACTAGATGCAAGTTATTTTAATGCAAAATAAGTAGTCCCTGTGATTAAAAGGACAGGCTTAAAACTACACTGGAAATCTCAGAAGTGGCATAAATGTATATTATATCAAGGATTCTTCACTGGATTTCTTTGTATAATCCACTATTTCTAAAAGCAACCAAAGTGGGACAGGACTAATTTAGATCAAGTCTATAGCATGGAAATGTCTCAGCCCTTCCACTCTGCCACCGATCAAAGTCAAATACTTTGGAGGTGTTTTTTAGCCACAGAACAGCCACTACAACCTTATGGTTTCCTTTTTAGGAGGAGGATGATCTTGGCTGGAGGTCTCTGTGGCATAGGAGGCAATCACTAGAGTCCCCTCATCTCATTCTAATGCAAATTTTTCCCATACCTCAGCTCCTTTTAGGAGAACAGGCATATACTGGGAGACCAGCTTGCTGATCCTGCACAAAGCAGCTAATTGGTCCCAAGATATTGGCTGAAACTCTGTTGCTTTAAGTCACAACTAGAGTAAACCTATTAAATCAGCGGGGATTTGGTGAACCAACTCCTCCATAATTGCCATTTTCAAAGGAGTAGACGTGTTACAATTATATGACTGTTGTATGTATACATGACCCAATGACCATGAAAGGATATGGACAATGGGCAAAGTGACAATGGTTTCCTAGTAAAGGAACAGGCTATCAGGTTGTGAATAATGCCAATTATCAGTCAACAAAGTATTACAGCATAGTTGACAAAAGCAAACTATGTGACTCAATGTTGTATTTCACACTTGGTAATGACTTAAAAACTCTTGATATTCACTCCATCTAAACGAGTCTCCAGCATCCCTATACATCTTACCTGAACAATTTCTTTTTCAATACTTGTTTTGTTGTGTTCCCCCTCCCCAAGAACAGTGACTTTTAAGTCACCCAGAGTGTCCAGGTTGATTGAAATGTTCTGCAATATTTTGTGTATTGCCATTTCTGATGTCAGAGTTACGTATGTCCATTAATTCTTTTGCACAGAGATTGTCATATTTATCCTATGTAGAGTGCAGAAGGGCATTGTTGGCAAAGGATAGCATAGATCACATTAGCAGAGGAACGAGTAACTGTGCCACTGATCTTGTGTGTGACATCACTGGGGCCTGCAATTGTGTTGCCAGAATAGATGTGGTGACAAAACTGGCATCTGGGATTGTAGCAGGGTAAATTCCCATCTCTGTATCAGTACTGTATTGTGTAATCTGTTGTGTCCGTAGTTGCTTGAGATTCAGGGGTTGTCTGCAAGAAAATATAGGCTTGCCATAATTTCCACTGATTATATGTGCCTACACTAGCCACAATTTATTATGCTATGCTACAGGATTTCAGTCACCACAATCCCCATTACTCTATGTGACTCCTTGCTGGTCTTGATGATGGCTTACTGCTAAATGTGAGTCTCAGGAACTTTCAGATACAATGTAATTTTTTAAAAGCAGTTTCCTTTTTGTAGCCAATAATCTGCCATGTAACAGGGGGAGAAAATGTTATTGTTTAATAATTCTAATGCAGTTCAAGATTTCAACATAGTTTCTGTCTAGACCTTTATGACAGAAGGAAACTGTAACAAAATAAAATACAATATCCCCATGTATTATTCACAGGAAAAAAAATCTACATTGGCTAGAACAGAACACTTTAAAAGGTGCTCTCTTTTTCTATCTAATTTTGATTGTCACAAATATAGCATTCCAGATTGAACACCATTTCTAAAATACTAATAAATATACTAATTGTTGTCAGAACTAGACTTCATTTGCACAGTTAATCCCCAGATCAGAAAACCTAGTGAAATTAGCACCTCTTGAAGAAATAACTTTCAGGAACATATGAAGAATAAAAGTGTGCCCACCTTATTCCATACGTATTTCCAGCTTACAGAAATGTCATTTCCTAACAGTGCTTTAATCCACTGAACTGGATTCTGGTAAACTGAACTGTCAGTTTTGACTTTCCCATTTCCCAGAAGGCTGGCTTTATGCCTGGAATTCTAAATATGAGACAAAAAAGAAGCAGAAACCCATTCAGAGTTAAATTCCTGAACTGGAGGGGAAATGTTCAAACAATCAGCTATTTTGTATTTATACAGACCAGGGATCTTATTTTTAATAAAGGAAACTAGCATCACTGGTATTATGCAGATGTGCACAATGGTACACTTACTGATTTTTCCAAACATTCTCACAATTTCACAAACTCTGTAACTCATCAAGTGTCAAGAGCTCTCTGAGCAAAACAGAACTTAAGTCTCACTTAAGCGCAACTTCACAAATTCTTCTGCAAACCCACATAGAGAGTGGAATATGGAGACTGAATAGTAGTTGTTGGAGAAGAGGAGTGGAAGTGGTGTATTCTATTCATCTCATTGTATTCTTATAGGCATCTGGTTGACCACTTTAGGAACAGAATGCTATGCTATATGAGCTTTTTGTCTGATTCAGCACAGTTCTTTTCATGTTCTATATACTGCTGCTGAACTTCCTGAATACTTCAATACTTTCTCTGTGCCTATCATAATTAAATTAAATTAAATCAAACCAAACATTATGTTATCTATGAACTGGTAATGGAGTGCCCTGCCCCTGAGTATCTGCTTCCAGAAGTATTTCAGATTTTGCCTACAGTTAATCCTTTCCTTTGTTAATCAGCAACAAAACATTCATTCTTTTTTGCTCTGTTATACTATTTGATTATATTATTATTAGTTATTAAGTTATACAGATGATACAATATTACTAGTAGGAAGCAACAATGACAGAAATAACTACTGAGGAAAGTGAAAGAAGTGCAAAAACAGAATTACAGTTGAATATTAAGATGACGAAAATCATACCTACAGAAAACATGTGTAACTTTAATGCTGACATTTGAGAAAGCTGGACAGTAAAGAAAGATTACAGGAAAAATGCAATTCATTTGAACTGTGGTGTCGGTAGAGAGTTTTATGAATGCCATGGACTGGCAGAAAGTCCATCAAGCATGGACACTCCCTAGATGTGATAATGACTAAAGTGAAGCAATAACACTATGGACATGTCATAAGAATGCAAAACTCCATGTAAAAGACAATACAGTAATGCTTGGGAAAGCTAAAGGCATGACTTCAAATTAGAAGAACCTGAATAGAGCTATCAAAAATAGAACCTTTTGGAGGTTACTGATCCATATGATTACCATGAATTGGAAGTGAGTTGACTGTACATACAACCAACAACAAAATGTTAACTAGGTCCTCGACCTTTTCCCCTACAGGTATGATGGAAATAAAATGGGAAAAGAGGCAAGCAAATAAATGATTACCAAATTAGGTAGACATGCTTTTATTTTGTTTATTTATTTGCACAATTTTAGCCCCATCTAATAGAACAATAAAGTTGTCTACATTAGATATTCAACCTAAGGGACTTGACCTTGTGCTTCTAAGTACCGCATTCAATTATAAAATCCTTGGAGCCTTCACTGAACTTTCAGAATGAAGACGTGCAGCACTAAAGAGGGTTCAACCATTATTTTTGTTATTAGCAATGACAGCCAATGTTAACAACAAAAAGAATTGGAGAGCAGCCAACAAAACTAATACCCCACAAATTATTTATTTAATAATTTGGCAGAATATAAATTATATCTTTATTTTACACTAAAATCCATGCCCAAACAATTGTCAGGTATGACCTTTGTATCTGAAGAGTCTGTTAAGAATACAGTAAATTAGGATGCGGGAGAGGTCTCCTAACTGGTTAAGTTAGTACTATCATATTTTTTCCTACATCATTTACTTTCTGCCTCAAGGCATACACATTAAATATCAGCACTAAAGTTGATATGGTACGGATAAACTTTTATTTTTACTGACAACTCACTCACCTTGGAAGCTGTATGGTTTTGCAGCAGTTACATTATTCTATTTTAAAGTAAGTTTGCAAAAACACATTTCTGGACTTTACCCTCACTAGCTTTTTGCTCTCACTGTCCCCACTGATTTGATAATGGAGTGTATCTTCAGCAGCAGGCTGAAGTGTCCATTAAATTAGGCAAGTGTAAGAAAAGTACTGTGGCTCCCAAACAAGATTTTTTTTTTACATTTTATTTAGCAAACTCTCTGTGGTGAATAATCCAGTCAATAATTTCAATCCTTTAAAAATTGCCTCCAGAGCTAATCTTCCTATTCATATAAGCAGGACAAAATTGTTGTGTTATTCATCTATGAGAGGAAGGCAAACTCATATGGAGTTAAAGGGCACAGCACTGCTTGGCTTAGAGCCAAAACAAGAATGTTTCATGGGGGAAAAAAATCTAGTTGGATCCAATGTGCAATTATAAATTTAATTTGTTAGGCACTAATATTGGAAAAAATAAATTTGTTCCTGCAGTTCTTCGAAATAATTTGTTTTTAGATACTGAAAGAAAGACATAATAATATACAGTATATGTCCATATATAATACAGTCCTTTGCTGTAGCTGATAATACAGTAATCCCTCTAATTTACAAAGGATATCTGTTTCCAAGCACTGAAGATGATTCTGTGGCTGAAATCCTGTTTGACTTGGTGTAGTGTAAAGTTACACCTGCAGAAGTTTATGGCAAATTATGCCCAGATAGTCCATATGTCTGATTGTGTAACTCAGTGGTCCCCAACCTTTTCCCTACCGTGGACCAGTTGGGTGTGTGTGTCACGCTCGCAAGGGCGTGTTGTGCTCACGTGCATGCATGCAACGCACTCGCAGGAGGCGGAGTATGCTTGCATGCATATGCAGGGCACACTCATGGGTGGTGGCAGGAGATAATCCTCGGCCCGGTCCTGCCTAGGCCACGGACCACTGCTGGGTCATAGACCATGGGTTGGGGACCCCTGGTGTAACTGATAGCATAATTGACCACACAAGTAAACATGGTCTGAACACACATTGACCATACAACAAACTGAGCAACTGACCAGACGATTGTATCTACAGAACTGCTTCCTTGATAAGATTTCCACCTTAGTCCAAACTTTGTAACACCTTCAAGTTATGCAGGTGTAGCTACACAACAGGATTTCAGCCACTGTGTTAAAGAAAGCAGGGATGCCTCAGGCCACACTGGAGACCAACTAGTAAAGTGCTTATGTTTGGCATCCCAATTCAAGTTTAAAAAACTGAAACAGCGGCAAGACAGATTGTAACCTCTCCCTTCATATCTGGCACCAAAAGAATGAAGAAACAGCAAGAAAGCTAAAACTTGTAGAGCATTTTTCCTAAATCTATTGAAGAAACAAGGAGACAAATTCAATTTGCATGACTGTTTAAGCATTTTGAGAAGAATATAATCTAGTTTCTTTGCGTGCGGGTGGATAGCTCAGTGAGTTGAGTACCTGGCTGTAGAGCCAGACGGTGCCTCCTGGGAGAAAAACCAGACTATACACAGTCTCAGAGAAGCCCCAGAAGAAAGGAATTTCTCAGTACTCTTTATCTAGATAACCCTGCAAAGTGTTATAAATTGCATAAACCTGATGACATGAAATTATTATAATTTTATTATTCTCAGTGCAGTATTCGTTATGTATGTAAAATGCCTTTGTCTTCATTTTCCACTAATAAAAAAGTTGCTTTTGTAAAGAATGTATTACTCAGTGTTCATATTTTATATATCTGCATTGTTTCTCAAGTGAATGATTTACCTGCAGTGTGAATTCTAGAACATCATCTCCTGGCTGAAGTTTCCCCTGCTCAAGAAGATCTAACAGCTGATTTCTTTTCCTTCTGTTCTCTTTGATTTTCAACTGTTTTTCAGAATACTGACTGTCAGAACACTGAGCAGTATTTTGGCTGATCTTGCTTTTTGACAGTGCATCGAGAAATGTTCCTGTAGCCTTTAAACTGGCATCCTGTGTGACTCTGCTATTTGGAAGGATGTTGGTTCGAATACAGTGGTGCATGGATTCTAACTCTTGTTGCTTTTGTAAAACCTCATTCATATTTGAACATTGTTGCAGAAACTCTTTAGTCCCAAGATGTTGACTTTCAGTGGTTGGTTGGTTGAGATTACTGTTGACTTCAATGCTTCCAGCTTCTGAATTATGTGATATGCATAATCTTGATGTACCATTTAGGAGTTTGTCTCCTTGTAGTGTCCATGGTATATAATCAACTTCCTTTCCATATGACTGTTGAGTAAGGCAGATATGTTCTGAAGGAAGAGTTATCTGTTCTGTAGCTTTCAAAGACTTTGAATTTGGCACTTCCTCAGTGTTATATTTGCTGAATCTGTTTTCACACACCATATTTTGTGAACCAACTTCTTGACTAATAATTTCTACATTTCCTCCTGCTAGATCCAGAGATCTATTTGGATGCTGCCTGGGTTCCTGCTCTATAAAACTATTTTCCATGACCCTGTTGGTTTTGAGGGCCCTTACTATACCTGGGTGTGGAACTGTCCCATCAGAAGTGCCATTTTTTGTATAGCTATTTGCACCAGAACTAAGTCTGTTTGCGACTTCTTTTGCTGAACCTGAAGACTCTTTTCTGGTATTCTTATAATTCTGTATTTTCTGACCTAGTTTTTTCTGGGTTTGTGCCATAAGTAAAAGGCTCTTTTGTCTGGATGCAAGGTTTACTAGCTGTTCCCTCAGTGCTCCCTGCTTAAAAGATTCCACAGAAGCTCTAAAATAAACATTTAAAATGTACAGTTAATTGAGGAAACATTATGCATCTCAATGCAACACACTAAAAAATTACACATTTTTAAAATTAGCTATTCAAGGATATGTCTTCACTCAATGCATAATGAACAAGGCTCTTTTCCAATAAGGTAAAGGAAAGAAGCAAACAGAAGGCAGGATGCTTTCTTTTCAAATTTAATTCAATTTGTTTTTTAATTTATAAAAGAAAAACATTATTATAATGGCTAAATCCTAGGATCCAGATACTTCTACAGCACTAGAACCATGCTACTATCTCTATGAATAATGAGTAAAGGATGGATTAGATGAACAAATTGAGGAGAGAGAGACCTAAGCATTTTGATTGCCCACTACAAGTTGCTTTCAAGCTAGAAATATGTTCAATTACATTTTACTTTTAAAAAACTAAGCCACATAATAAACACATATTTAATTCTGCCTACCTGTATTTCTTAGCAAGCTCATCCCTTTCTGATTTCTGTTTGGCAAGTACATCGTTCAAAATATTCTGGATCTGAGACAGTTTTTGGATATACAGATCTGTTTGACATAGTTCAAAGTTTTAAGGTCATTAATCTAAATTGATATTTGATCACTGGCAATGGATGCAATAAAAACAGTGCAATATTAAAACAATGTAGCAGAAAAAAAATCAGTGTTGTACATTGGAACCTTTTTATAGTGAAAGCCATTCCACCAATTGGTAAGTGCAGGCTTTCAGCTGCAATTTTAAACAAACTCACAAGGGAGAAATCACATTGAATGCTGTGGGGCTTACTTCTGAATAAACATGCACCAGGTTGAAATGTTAGTTACATATTCAACAGTTGCTCTGTCACTCTAAAACACTTCAAAGACAATATGTAACCTTTCAAAAAGGGCAAAGTTCCTTCCCCCCACGCTTTGTGTACAAATTAATTTCTGTATAACTTGAAAAGCTGATATTGAGATACTAGCATGGGTATTATTTTGGATTGTATAGACAAAATCAAAGAACATCATATTAACACTTATAAACCAATGCATGCATAGCAGTAATGGAGGCAGAGTTTTGCTCTCTAGTAAATACTATGGCACTATGGAGTGTTGGGAACCTTAACTGTAGGCACAACCTGTACATTTTGGGGAATAAATCTTGCATCATAGAAATGCCATAAGCCTCTCTTGCTAAGTAAACTGAATTCTGAGAAAGTGCTAGAACATCTGAAGACTCATCACTTGGAAACAGAAAAAATGTGTCAAAATATCAATACATGGAAAGTCTTTCATAGTTTAACTGCAATTAAATCACTACCTGCATCACTCTGGCTTCTTAATTCAAAGAATGAAAGTCTGTCCTGCTTTTCTTCTATATCCTGCAGTACTTCACTGATGGATTCATGCTATCAGATACAAATTGCTGTTAATATTGTTAAAGGCAGACTGGCTGGAACTGAAGTCAAATAGAATAATCCATATGGAATTTTACCCAAACCAGAACAGAACATTTATTTCTGCAGGTCAAATGAGTACACAGTTTGGAAAGAAAGCCAGGCATACAGAGAAAAATAATTTTTTAAAAAAATCTAAATGCACAGAATCTGATCCAAAGAACAATAAATAAAAGGGGGGAGGACATGTTTATGTATAGCACCAGAAGAAGAGTTCTTGCCTTATTATAGTCCATAGAAATATTGTAGTTCTCATACACAGAGCACAAACACAAGCAAAATACCTTTGATTGATGGCCAAAACACCCGTTCAGAGAACTGTACTTTTCCTGCTCTTGTAATGTTTTTCCTGCAGCAATAGATTTCTCTGAACATGTTCTTTGCCCCTTCACATCAGATTTTATTTCATATGATGGTATGGCACAGGCTTGGGAAACCCAAGACCTTCCTAATGTTGAAAAATTATAATTCCCATCACTTTTGGCTGTTAGCCTTCCTAACTAGAGTTGATGGTAACTAGGTGTCTGATAACAAGTGGAGCACCACAGATCCCCCAGTGCTTCTCTAGCAAAAGCTATCTAGCAAAAGCTATCAAATAGTCTCTGCATAAGTGAAAAGATGTCTCCTAAATGCAGAAGAACAGTTTCCACCTGCCTGCAACCCTTGTAAGGAGCTAGTGCTTGGGGAGCAGTATTAGTCAGAAAAGCCTGCTTTAGGAACCAACAGGGTGAGAGTGAGAAGTTCCCTCAACTCTGTTCTGTCCCCTTACCTGAAAGCTTTATAAAGTTCTGCTGCGTATCTAGAGGATGGCCACCTTAGGGGAGCTGCTTATTTATTTAAACATTTATGGCATGCCCTACATCACAGAATCTCAGGATGGGTTATAAAACTGTACAAAGCTGCTGCGTATCTAGAGGGTGGCCACCTTAGGGGAGCACTTATTTATTTAAACATTTATAGCCTGCCCTACATCACAGGATCTCAGGATGGGTTATAAAACTGTACAAAACAATTTTAAAATATAAGATATTTAAAACAATTTAAGATCAGACAACACAAAGTTAAAGCACTCAAACATTAAAAAGATTTTAAAACACAGCGTTAAAACCCATGCAGGTCACAACGCTCAAGCCTCCAAAGGCTCTAATAAATATGTCTTGGCTAGGCATCAAAATGATGACAGTGCCAAATGAGCCTCCAAGGCGAGGACATTCCACAGTTGGCGTGCTGTGGCAGAAAAAGACCTCCCACCAGGGCTCCACATAACAAACTGTTCTCAATGGTGGGGCATAAAGTAGGGTCTTCTCAGCAGATATCTTAGTGACTGGGCAATTTTATATAGGGAGAGAAATTCCTTCAAATATCCAGGTCCCAAGCCACTTAGGGCTTTATAAGTCATTGTCAATGCCCTGAACTCAGCCTGGAAGCATATTGGCTGCTAGTGCAAATCCTTCAGAACTGTTGTCACGTGTTCTGAAGAATGTTCCCATTAGCAGACTAACTGCTGCATGCTGCACTTGCTACAGCAGACATGTCATCTTCAAGCGTAGCCCCACGCAGAGTGCATTTTTGTAGTCTAACCAGGAACTAGCAAACATGTCATCTTCAAGCGTAGCCCCACGTAGAGTGCATTTTTGTAGTCTAACCAGGAACTTAGTTGGGCATGGACTACTGTGGACAGGTTATACTTGTCCAAGAATAGCCGTAACCAGTGGACCAGTTTAAGATGGCACTTCAAGCCGGTTTGCTCACATGAGCTTTCAATGACAAAGGTGAATCTAGGAGTACAAACCCCCCTCCCCAAACTACATACATGCTCCTTCAGGGAGAATACAACTCCATCCAGAGCAGGTCTCCTGCACAACTCCAAGACCTGGTAACCACCAAACCACAGAGCCTCTGTCTTATTGGGATTCAGCTTCAGTTTATTGGCTCTCATCCAGCCCACTACACCCTCCAGACACTGGACACGACCTGCACAGCCACAGCCAACCCCAATTATAAGGAGATATGTCATCAGCATATTGATGGCACCAAACTCTCAAACACCTGATGAGCTCTCCAAGTAACTTTATATAGATATTAAACAGCACGAGAGATAGAACAGAACCCTGTGGTACCCCACAGCTGAATCTCTACAGAGCTGAGCAGAAGTCCCCCCAATCTGAACCAGTACCGGAGATAGGAATGGAACCCCTGTAGTACAATACCTTCCACTTCCATTCCATGGAGCCTGTCCAAGAGGATACCATGATCAATGGTATAAGAAGCTACCAAGAATACCAGGAGAATCAACTGAAACCTGGGCTGAAATGGGTGCAGATAATCAGTTTCCTCCAAGTTTGTCTGAAGCTGTCCAGCCACCACATGCTCAACCACTTTGTCCAAAAAGATTTTCAATGGGGTGGTAGCTGTCATTATACCTTTGAGTTCAGAGAGGTCCTCTTCAGGAGAAGGTGCACCACCATCTCTTTCATTGCAGAAGGCACCATTCCTTGCCATAACCGGTTGTTTACCATGTCCTAGACCCAGTGTGGTGTACTGGATACAGTGGCAGACTAGGACTCTGGAGAGCAGAGTTCAAATCCCTGCTCAGCCATGGAAACTCACTGGGGCTGTGGAACTGATCAAACCACTCCTTAAGTATCTCACTTACCTTGAAAGCCTTGTGAGGGTTGCTATAAGTTAGTTCCAGCTTGACAGCCCAACAACAACAACAAACCCATCTAGTCAATCCACTCCTGCTAGATCTTATCAACCATGATGGGTAAGGATCAAGAATACATGTGGTGGGATGGACCAATTCAAGCATTGATGGAAATTGATCCCAGAAAACCTGACTGGACAGTACACTGGACACTTCCCTAGACACCTTAAATTTTGTAGCATCCAGCTCCAAGAAAATATGAGTGACTTTCTCCTCAAAGGGCTTCTCACAGGAGGTGACTGAGGATCCACTCCTACCCATTTTAAATCCAAACCCAGAAAGCGCTTAACCACTCGGAACAATCTTTCTGTGCAGCAGGTGAGGGATGAAATAACATCAGCAATGTAAAACTCTTTCAACCTTTTACCAGCATAGTAGGCACATTGAGAAGTCTTCACTAGTTTCCAATCAACTCATTATGTGACCTGCGCCACCTACACTCTAACTGTAGTCTGACTTATTTCCTTGCCTATATGTAGATCTTCTATAAACAGAGGGTGAAATATGGGCTCCATTACACCAGAGTGGGCACTTCGGAGTGATTGAATTGACTGATCTTTCCATCTCATCATTCCACAGTGAAACCAAGGGCAATCACCTGTCAGCTGGAAACTCTCCCAGAGCATTCAGAAATCCTAAAGTCTCAAAAGGGTGGACCATTTTGATGGTTCCCCTACCCCTGTAGGGAAGGCCTGCTTCCCATCAAACCACTATCCACAGGCCCTGCACTAAAATGCAAAAAAGAGAGTGGGAGTGAGTACTTAAGGGGCAATGACACTCAGGGGAATTCACTCCTGCTCTCTTTCAGCATTTTGGAGCAGAACTGGCTTTTGCTTTCAAACAGAGCGGATATGTATTCAAGTCATAGAATCGCAGAATAATTATCTTGGAAGGAACTCACAAGGCCATCAAGTTCAATACCTGCTAATTGCAGGAATCCAAATCAAAGCAGATCTGACAGATGGTTGTCCAATTTTCGCTTGAATACCTCCAGTGCTGAAGCACCACCTTCTGAGGTAAGAATTTTTTCTATATTCAGCCTAAACCTGGCTTCTGGTAACTTAAGCCCTTTATGACATGTCTTATACTCTGGGATGATCAAGAACAGATCCTTGCCCCGCCTCTGTATGACTACCTTTCAAGTATTTGAAAAATGTTATCATACCTCCCCTCAGTCATCTTTTCTCAAAGATAAACATGCCCAGTTTTGTCAATCTTTCCTCATAAGGCTTGGTTTCCAGTCCCCTGATCATTCTTGTTGCCCTCTTCTGTCACAGGGGTGTTCTTGTCATTGTATTAAATACATTTTGGAGAAACTGGTATCTTGCATTTTTTAAAAGTTTCATTTTCTTCAAAACATGGATTAGTTCCCCCTTTTTTACTACAACTTCCAGAATGAGCCAGTCAGCATAGCTTTTCCATTTTCTAATTTTATTGTATTGCTTGAATTTTGTATTTAACTTTGTGAGCTACATGTGACTGAAAAGTGGCAAATCTAACATAAAACATACCCTTCACATCTGGCTCATGATTCAGTATCATTATCATCCAGGCAACATATAACACTAATGCATCATAAATTAAAATTGTTCAAGTATCTGTACTTACTGTGACACATTTTCGTCCAGACGGTTTGGAATGGAAAACCAGATGATCATGGCAATTATAACAAGTACGGGTTTTCCTAGGCCTAGAAGGACGTACATTTTTTTCTCCTAAATAAAGAACCATCATAAATTCAAAATATTAAATTCTATATGTAGCCTACAAAGTATAAAATTCTTTATATAGACATCTATCTGTCCCATCCATTTCATTTCATTAGTCCTATAAATTAGCCAGTGTCATTGGCCGATGTACTGTATACTGTATATGCATTAAAAAACAAATCACAACAAGGGAAAGGGTGTCAGAATCCTCTGACTGTTTGAGCTTCTTCAAACAAATATTGCGCATCTTTATCTCCATAAAATGCACATGTTATTGGTTCTAATTAAATGTCCATGTGTGCATTTGCTGGTTGGCCTTGGCATTTAATACAACATTTTGAAAACCAACCCACACGTTGAAATCAATGGGATTTTAAAACAGACCTAACTGCAATAAGTCTGGGACTCTGGAAACAAAAAACTTAAAAAAATGAAGTTACTATAATATTATTTTAGAATAAATACCTAGCAACACAAAGGGAGACACATACCAACAATATTATTCATCTTAGGGATCTCTTTAGTTTCAGTAGCTCCATAAGATTTAAGAAGATCTTTCATTTTGTCGCAGATGGCTTCATCCAATGCATTTCCCCCACAGTTGTCTGCCTCATTAGGGTTTGCACCATGGAACAACAGAAGATGTACTGCCTGCAACACATTTTTATAACTTAGTTGGCTGTAAAAATGCTTAGTTAAATAGTACATTATTATTATGATCCCATGGTGTTATGTACTTACAAGTACTGTAGCACTGGAAAAATGTTAGGATACCTATTTATATACTCACATTATACATATTTCAGCATTAATATTAAAAACTTTTAAAATGCTTAAAATTAAAACCAGTAGGATATCTACAAAAACTATTGAGGAAAATGGGAAAAGATTTCTGCTAGCAGATTAAACTAGAATGAGAGAAGGTGTTAAGAAGGTAAAACAACTCACAAGCAAAAATGAAGTTGGAGTTTGTCTGATCATGACACCTTGCAAGGCCTTAAACAGTCAGGTAATCTGTCCCAGCTCTCAAATATTAATAGCCTATCAAACAAGATGCCTTTTAGGTTTGGTATCAAGAACAGATAATGTCTGTTACCTTGAGAAGATCGATTCTAATTCCTCCACTAATCAAAATAGCTTATTTGTTAAAAGGATTTGAAACCAGAGTTTGAAGCTGGTAAGCAAATCTGAGTAAGAAGGAGTCTGGTTAGCACTGGATTACCTCAAAATGATTGCCTGAAACAGCATCGTGAATTGGCAAAACACCATCAAGGCTTTTACTATTCACATCAGCACCAGCTTTCAGCAGCTCTGCTATAATCTCAGTAAATCCTCTACTGGAAGCTTCATGAATTGCTGTCCAGCCTGGCAAAAGCAAAGTTAAACACAAGCAGCTTCACATATACAGATAAATGTGGACAAAAATATACTATTAAAACTCAAAGCAGCATACTTATTTAAAGTCAAATCATAATACACTGGTCTGAATTTAAAGAAATGTTCAGGATGGCTTTGAATTCTCTTTGAAGTTTCTCAAACAGAATGCCACATGTCAAACCTTTTCTGAAATTGGGGGTGGGGTGGTGGTTTCTGAAAGCAGACTGTGATTTGTTTATAGGAAGAAAGTCACACTATGCACATCATGAACCTAAGCACCTAGTAATCCCTGGTTTTCATTTAATCATGGGCACCTTCTATAAATGTTTTGTGCAGTTAATCATCCACTACACATATCTATCCACACTCATATTACTATACAGAGCATAAAATCAATCTGTATTCTGAACATTGTTCAGTTAAATAGGTGGCAGTGAGAGAAAAAAAACTATTAGAAGAAAAATGTCGGGCCATTTCTGGGACATACCACAACTGAGAACTGTGAAATGGTAAATTAAAAATACCACACCTGCATAATCTTTTTGATTCACACATGCTCCAGATGCTATTAAAGACTTTATTAAAGCCAAATCTCCTTTTTTAGCAGCCAAATGCAGAGCTGTTTCTCCTTTAGTATTTGTTTTGTTTATTTTTGCTGTTGTAGTATAGAGCAGCTGACTAGAAGAAGATTTTCTCTCTCTTTTCTTAGAATGAGAAGAAGCTAAAGAAAATATAAGACACTCATTAGCAATCATGGACAGTATTTTGATAGAGTGCTATGAAAAATCTGAATTCTTATCACACCTGGCCACTGCATTTTTTTTCAGAAACACCACTAGCTTCAGCTATACTGGTGTAAAATATTTATACATTGATGTCAGCTTTAACCAATATTTGGACTTCAGTACTATAAAGCTTTACAGATTTCTGCCTTGTCATGGCGAAGGGGCTTGAGTAATTCAGAGAAGCTATGGGCTGTGCCGTGCAAGGACACCCAAGACAGACAGGTCATAGTGGAGAGTTCTGACTAAACGCGATCCAACTACCATACAATTGCACTCATTTCACACACTAGCAAGGTTATGCTCAAAATCCTACAAGCCAGGCTTCAGCAGTATGTGGACCGAGAACTCCCACAAGTAGCAAGGATCATTTTTTAAAAAAAGGACATGTAAGACAAATTAGATCAAATGAAACTTTTTGGCAAATAGATAATAAAAATGGCAGCTGGTTAGTTGCTGTCTCAATGAAAAAGTATATATGTATGTATATAGAGATAGAGATATTCTGCCAAAACTGTGGGCAGTGAACAATTCAAAATAACATCATATAAACATATAAGCAATAATAACATTCAAGTGAAATTCAAACAGCTGATACCCAAGTGGTATGTGGTTTTATAGGCGAAGCATAACCAGCACTGTTAGTCACTTATCAAAGGCATTTGATTGTTCATGCATATGCAAAGAAAGAGTGTATTAAAAGTGTAACATTTTGTTTCTATGTAGGATAGAACACAACTGGTCAGTTCTCTCAGTACAGCAGTTGTTCTCCGTATATACTGTATTCCGCCGATCTCCACTAATCGTGCTATTGGTATAGACCTCTAGTGCTATAATGTAGAAAAGCAACTACATCTTTTTAACAGAGTATTCTAAGTATCTCACCAAGCTAGAACCCCCAGTATTCCATAGAATGGAGCTGTGACGAAGTGGTACCAAACTGCTATAACTGTGAAGTGTAGACAAGTCTGCTGCTGTTTTTAATCTTCTACTGTTTCCACCAATTGAGGGACACTTTTGGAGACATGACACTTTGAGGAAAGGGAAACCAGTAAGTAAAGTGAATGTATAGGGTTTGGGATCCCATTATCTGTCTGAGCACCTCCCCCCCCAAAAAAAAACATCAATCTGTGCCATCTGATCCACTCAGGACCAGTCTCCTGTGGGCAGCCAGTCTTGAGGGGGGCAAAGGAGGATTCTATGAGGAGCCAAGCCTTCTGCGTAGTTGTCCCACATTTTTCAGAACAGCCTTCCTATAGAGATTTGTTCAGCCCCCTCCCTCCCAGCCTTCAAGAAATGGTTAAAGGCCAGTCTCCTCAAAGAAGCATTTAGAGAGGTTTACTGGCCAACCATCATGGTTTACTGCCCAACCATCATTGTGTCTGTTTCTTATGGGACGTTTTATAGGATTGCGTTTGTTTGGGATTGGTTTTGATTTGGAAGGAGGTGTATGGGACTTAGTATATTATTGTCAACTGCCCAGAATAGAGCTTTGTACTAAATCAGGCGTGGTACAAATAACTGATGTATGTATAGACTGGTGGTGTCTGGCATTAAATCCTCAGGTCATCATTTTGGTCAAATGGGTGACAAATTTCTTGAGGAGGTCAGTCTATTGCATGTATATGTGAGAACACAAAAAAGAAAATATTTATTTACCCAGCATGTTGTTAGTCTGTGGAACTCCTTGCCACAGGATGTGGTTATGGCATCTGGCCTAGATGCCTTGAAAAGGAGATTGGACGGATTTCTGGAGGAAAGGTCCATCACAGTTTACAGGCCTTGATGGGGATGTATAATCTGCAGGCTTAAAAGGAAGGTACCTCCAAAATGCCAGATGCAAGGAAGGGATATCAGGAGACAGGTATCTAGTTGTCTCATGTGCTCCCAGAGGCATCTGGTGGGGCCACTGAAAGATACAGGAAGCTGGACTAGATGGGCCCTTGGCCTGATTCATCAGGGCTCTTCTTATGTTCTTACGTTCTCAGATCTAAGTCAGGAAAGATGTACGAAGCAGTATGGCTGCTGTTTTTAAGTTAAAGCTGTGGCAGCTGTGGATTGGAAGTGATGCCCCAGTTCTTCAAACAAAGAAGTACAAGCTATGCATGCACACACCCCTCTGCATTTGGCCTTCTTTTGAAACTGGCATGTTTCTGCTTAGCCGGGGTGGGGTGGGGTGGTGACACAAAGAACTTGAGTCCTCCATCTGGGAATTGGGGTGATAATTTAGTAAACTCAGTAGGTTTAGCGAACTGGGTCATATTAAGATCAAAATAATATTACCTACGAAATATTACTTACTAAAAATTGCTAAATATTACTTGCTAAATTATTGCCTACTCTTGCATTTGTATTTGGAAAGTAAGTTTTCCAGGTTCTGCTATAGGCTGTATGAAATGGTGGACTTTCACTAGTGAAATGGCAGACCTGGG